ACAGACACGAAGACATGAGGGCGGTTTCTACTCCGAAAGCCTCGTCGTTTCCTTGACCGTCACAAAATCCTTTTGAGAGATGAACGCTCATGTTGAATTAACTGAACATAGGATTGGAGAACATCATGAAGGGGGTGGGCACCAAATATTTTGAGCCTTAAAATCTTTTTTCTAAAAACCATGAACCAGACCACGTTACAACCTTCAAAAGTCCTAATTGAAGCAAGGTTATTTTGAAAGCATACTTCAATGAGATAGTGTTCCTGACTCCCATGAATGTTCTAAATAGTTATGCTGGTATCATATGTTTTTCCTATACAAAAAATAAATGGTGCTTTAACTCGCAAAATTTGTGCGATATCTTTCAAAATCTTCAAGACTTACATAACTGTTGCATTAGAATTTTCATTCTCATTGTAAACTTTTTCTAACTGCAAAACATTTGTTTGATATCAAGGAAGCTCACATAAGCACCAGTGATGAGTTTATTCTTTTAAGGCCTATTAGAGAATCATTTCAAGAAAAAAATCATATTAGGGGGCATGTCACATGAAGACCGTAAGCACGAACATGTTGCTTCTCCTAGTTAATGCTTTCCCAACTTGTTTACTCTTTTGGGGCAAAATTTGAAGACTTTGTTGTACCAACTACAGTCAATCTGGGGCAATCACGTAGAGATTTGATGAATCTCTCTAAGAGTTTGAAGACACCAGAGCATGGTGAATGCCAGGTCTTTTGTAAAATCCTCTTGAGACGATTTCTTCTCACCAACCATATAGCTTGGGGCATTTTAGAAGTGAAGTTATTCGCAAGAATTGTCGTGCAACATGCAGCTTATCAGCAGTAAACTTGGGGCATCCAAAATTAATCCCAGGGGCAATCCAGATTGGTCAAGATATGTTTTTTCATACATTATCAGAGGGTGGTGTTCCCAGTATCTCCAGCTAAGCAAGACTTCTTTCCAGCTGAAACTTTGTTTGTATTGTTATCCTTTCAATGGATTGTCTGCAATAGAAGACTGGACTTTGGGTTTTCTACCTGAAAATATCTTCCTCTCTAAAGATATTTAAGCCTTGTAAAAGGACCTTGCTCCAATGACGGCCTGTGTTTTATCTCCAGTAATGTTCCCCTTTTGTTGAGATTAGCTGAGCGTCGGGTTGTACTGGGACGTCTTATCATCTTCTGTCTATCTCCCCTGTCTGTTTTGTCAACATATACATGACATTCGTTCATTCGTTCATACTTGCATCATGCACGCACATTTCGATTTGTTGATATCTTTGAGTTCGTATACCTTGGTTATGTCTATTCAAATAGCATATTTGATCTTTCCAAATAGAGTGTCAACTTAAGCAGAAAGTGCGCCTCTTTTCTAATTCCCCACTGAGTTAACACTCGTGGAAGAATCTTGCTTTAGCTTTCCTTTTCCAACTCTGGACAGGATAAATCCCCATTTGAGTTGTTTCCTCATTGGATGGAGTCTTGTTTGGCTGTTTTCTCTCTAGTTTATTCCTTGATTGAGCTGTGTCTCTTGTGAACGATACCCTGTGAATATCTCTAGGCTGTGAAACCTAGATGAAGAGTGAATTTTGTTTTGCAATGTAAATACTTGGTCTCCTCAAGAAGGATTTATTCATGGTTCCCCATTGAAGATGAACTTTATTCCCCAGTAGTGTTATCATAACCTTCTTCTGGAATATCGACATGACAACAAGCGACTGACTCTTTATTTGAGCAGTTTGATTATTTATGATTTCTCTATGACAAATGGCGGTCTCTTCATGAGCAGTTTGTCCATCCTCGATGAAATTATTGATTCTCACCTCCAGCAATATCTTCATGATATTTTATGGGTATCTTTGAGAAAACAGCAAGCGGCAGTCTCTTCATGAGGCAACTTGTGTGTTATGGATACTCTTGACAAACAGCAAGCGGCAGTCTCTTCATGAGGCAACTTGTGTGTTATGGATACTCTTGACAAACAGCAAGCGGCGGTCTCTTCATGAGCAACTTGTGTTTTATGGATACTCTTAACAAACAGCAAGCGGCAGTCTCTTCATGAGGCAACTTGTGTGTTATGGATACTCTTGAGAAACAGCAAGCGGCAGTCTCTTCATGGACAACTTGTATGTTATCAACACTTTTAAAAACAGCAAGCGGCAGTCTCTTCATGGACAACTTGTATGTTATCAACACTTTTTGACAACGACAAGTGGTGGTCTCTTCATGAGCAGCTTGTACGGAAAATGGCAAGTGGCAGCTTCTTCATGAGTAGCTTGTACGTTAGTATCTTTGGAAGACAGCAAGTGGAAGCTTCTTCATGAGCAGCTTGTACGTTAGTATCTTTGGAAGACATCAAGTGGCAGCTTATCTATTTGAGCAACTTGTGTGTTATTGTTCCCTTGAAGACAACAAGTGGCAGCTTCTTTTTGAGCAGCTTGTGGGTTATTGGCAACAAGTGGCAGACTCTTCATGAGCAGCTTGTGTGCTTTGATATTCTTTGAAGACAGCAAGTGGCATCTTCTTTATGAGCAGCTTGTGGGTTTTTGGCAACAAGTGGCGGACTCTTCATGAGCAGCTTGTGTGCTTTAATATTCTTTGAAGACAGCAAGTGGCAGTCTCTTCATGAGCAGCTTGTATGTTATTGACACCTTTGAAAGGAAGCAAGTGGCGGCCTCTTTATTTGAGCAACTTGTGTATCCCCAACAATAATGTCTACTCAGCAAATGACATCCCTTCGGAAAAGTCCCATGGGGAAGTTTGTTATTTTATCCTTTTCAAGCGATATCTTGGTTAAAGAAGAAATGTGTTACCGTTCTTGGTAAAATTCAGAAATCAGAGATGTTTATCTCCAGCCACAGTGCTGATGTTAATCATTTTGTTTTCCAGCCACAGTGCTGATGTCAATCATTTTGTTTTCCAGCCACAGTGCTGATGTCAATCATTTTATCTCCAGCCACAGTGCTGATGTCAATCATTTTATCTCCAGTCACAGTACTGATGTCAATCGTATGCTTTTCCAGTCACAATACTGATGTAAATCATTACCTTCTCCAGTCACAGTACTGATGTAAATCATTTCTTTTCCAGTCTCAACACTGATGTAAATCATTCAAGAGTCTCTCATTTGAAGTCTATGACTCTGTTTCCCCAATGGAGTTACAACCTCTTCCTCTGTGGGATTACTGTATAATGTGCTTGGTTTCTCCAGCATAGTCTGTCTCGTATGGCGTCATTCCCCATAAAATTCAGAGCATTACATTCATATCATATCATGAACATAATTGCGGTATCTTAAGGCCAAAAATTGTGTATTCTATATTTAAGTCCCTTCAATCTCGTCGAAATGAAGATCCCAATCTTCATATCTCCAGATAGAAGAAACTTAAATAGGGGCAGCTGTTGTACCCCAATTTTTGACCTAAGATCCCATATATATTTTTGCATTTTTTAAGATAAGTCAAGGTCACGAAATACGGTTGGTTTTAACGTCTCACTTTCAAGCATTGACTATGCGAAGATTGTCAAGTGTTTTGAACATTTTTAGCATATGTACCACTAATTTCTAATCGCATACAAAGGTGTATGTTCGTGTTTTCTTTTGTGTCCTGTGCAGAGACAAGTCCGAATCAAGAGCATCAGGTGTCGCGCCTCAATTAAAGTTTTGAGTCTCTCAAGCCAGAAGTACGGTTGATTGTGGATTCTCGAAGAGTGATTCATCAAGGCACACCGTTGCACCCTAAATTTCGCCCCTAATATGTTTTAGTCGCACTTTCATATCATATTTTGTTATTTAGTCACGATCATTAGTAAATATCTTCATTCATCACATTTTGCATCATTAGTCGTATTTAAGTTGATCAGAAAAAGTCAGTTTAAATCAAAGTTTGCATCGTCTTTCAGTTGTAAAATACCCGGCATTTTGCTTCATGCATTTTTATCTATTTACTCATTTGTTGCATTGCTCCAAGTTGTTTATATGTCAATAATAAAAATATTTTGGTTTTATAGACAGACTGTTAAAAGCGATTCGACACTATGCGGGAAATTAGCGAGAAAATATTTCAAGTTTTCACCTTTTACCGATCATTTTATGAATCTGCGTTTCGCATAGATTATGACGGTATGCTCGCTTTATTTTTTCGGTACAGTTCGAAGGCTCATTTTTAACCATAAACGTCTGTTTAGCCTGATATTTTTATTATCATTTTATTTTGACTTTGACTTTTAAATATTTTTCTTTAATCTTTTTTACATGTAGTTTATTTTAATGTGTTCATATTAATTTTTCGGATAAATTTTCTTCCGTTTTTTATTATTTTTAGTCATTTTGGGTCCTTATTTTTTATTCAGAAAAGATTCAAAAAAAATTATTTTCAATGGAGTTAATTTTAATATTCTTAGTCTTTTTGGTTATTTTTATCATTTAAGGGTTATTTGGTCACAAAAAATATTATTTACACTGTGCTTGATTCTTATTGGCTGTTAGCAAAAATAGCGGATAGATGCAGAGTTAATAATTTTGGACTGATGGGATTAAACCTGAAAACAATATTCTTCTTTATTTTCTTATTTAAGTAGAACCTTTATCACTTTGTAGAAGGGGAGAAAAAACAAAATAACATCACAGTAAATAGCTCTTCAATTATTCCTCTCTCTCTGCGCATCAGTCCCAAAAACTATCCTCTTCTCTTCACAGTAACTCCACCACTCCAAATTTCTTCCCAAAAAAAAAGCAGATTCTCATTCATAAACCCATTGCTTCTTCTTCAACATTACTCAAATAACACACCCTACAATTGTTTATTCTTCAATCAACAATAAACAATTCCACTTCAATCAATAACAAAATCCAACAACAACATAGTCTACTGTCGCTGTCACCGGTGACTCTTGTCGGAGATTCTCTCTCTTTCAACCCATTCAACTGATTACCCTCTCACTAGATCGATCTACCTTCAAAAGGATTCAGAAGGTGAGATTAAGAGGGTTAGTCAATTATGGCGGTTTCAGTTTCACGGGCTATGTCCAAAGGCATAGTGATGACAGTGCCTGTTCTGGTTCTAACAGTTTCAGCTGCCGCTGTTTTTCTGTTCGTCTTGTTGTCCTCGCTCTCTTCTTGCTCATGCCCCTCACAACCTTCACAAATACTGCCACTATCCTAGAAAAAGCATAAACAGATCCAGGAAACATGAACATGTTATTAGAACTCAAGAGATTTGAAACATAAGAGAATAAAAACACGATCTCTTCCTCTCTCAATCTAAAATGCAGCGGCTTTTCCTTCTACATCCCTTCATCGCTCCCGTCGTGCTATGTTGTTCATCATCTCGCCTCAATCTCTCATAGATTCGTGTTGATTCAAGCTTTGTCATCTCCGTTCTTTCTTAATTCAAACTCTGATGTTTCACTAGACATCATCAACTTCACGCTCCTACTGCTAGGATGAACTTCGTCCCCTTCAGATTGCAGTGTCGCGCCTTAACCCGCTATCCCGCCATCATTATCACCACCATAGTCCCTTCGATCTTCTGCCCAACTGTGCCTCTTCCGATTCCGTGAGCCCAGCAGATTCTGTCTACACACTCGAGATGTGTATGACCGGCTTAGCCAGAGAGAAAGCATCCGTTTTCTTCAAAGAACAAACAGGTTCAGCTGCCGAGATGACCGTCAACTCCGGCATTAGAAAAATTCTTCCAAATTCTGAAATTTGCGACTTTGATTTTGAACCTTGTGGTTATCCAATGAACTCTGTTGAGGGGCCTGTTGTATCTACAATTCATATTACTCCTGAAGATGGTTTCAGCTATGCAAGCTTTGAGAATGCAGGGTACGATTTGAAGGCAATGAATCTGAACGAAATGGTGATGAGGGTGCTAGTTTGTTTCCAACCAACTGAGTTTTCTGTAGTTGTTCATGTGGACAATGCAAGTAAGTCATTTGAGAAGGGGTGGTTTGCTTTTGTTTGTGTTTCTTATATTCCCTTCTAAAATTAATTTTTATTTTATTATTTATAGTCTAGTTAATTTATTCTCTCATAGATAAATCTCTAAAATTTTAAATGTTTAGTTTATTATTCAATTATTTCATATTAATTTTTAGTTTATCAAAGTGGTTCTATTGTACATAATGTGTATGCATATGAATCATTTCTAACTTCTTGCATATAAGATGTAAATTGCAATGTGAATCTCAAATGAATTGATGACCATGTTCAACATTGTGTTTGCATGAGTTTAAATGTGTTTAGAACATTGAATGCCATGTTGATTTTTTGTTGGGTACTTTGAGTAATCATCATTTATTTGGTTTATGTTTTGAATTCAATTTCTCATGTTGCAAAGTGAGCTTTGGATATTTGTTTTCCGTTGTGCTTGAAATAGTGGTTGCCTTTGATACATTTGAAATAATGTGCACAATGTTGATTTTTTGTGTTTACATGGAATAATGTCATGAATTCTTGATTTTATTTGTGTAAATATTCATGTGCATTCATACAATTTCATTTCATTTCTTTATTTTGTGATTTCTAACAAAGTTTTTAATTGTTGCGATTTCATTCATTTTAATTTTTATACCGCTTATGCTACTAACGAGTTTGCTTATTGTGAAGGTTTTCGAAAATCGTTTCAAGTATCCATTCTCACATAGCGCATCAATAACTCTTACACTTCTCCCTTTTACCTTTTCATTTTATTTTACTATTCTGATTTAACATTTGGTACTGTAAATATATACTTGTACATAATATTTTGACTGTATATTTTACTTGTAAATAAATTCAGGTTTCTTAAAAATATTATTTTCATCGCATTGTGATTTTATTTTAATTCCAACTAACTTCTGAAAATTGTGCGGACGCACATAAGTTTCCCGTGTTGTTAGATTTGTTGGTATATCTCTTGTGATGCAGGGATTCTTATCCGATATCGTGAGCTTTATCCACCGCCTTTGCGTTTCATCTGATGTTTGGAGTATTATCTCACATTAGGTTTTTGATGATGCTGTCGGCTTGTGATTTATTTTCACCTAAGGTTTGACATACTCTTAGCTTATTTATCCGTCTGTGGTTTTAACTCCAAGGGAAAATTTAAATTTGTTGACTTCACGTCATCAAATACATCCCATCCGATTGCGCGAACCCCTTCATTCATTTTTTGCTTGTTTACTATTTTGCAAAACTCAAGATAATTTTCCTAAAAGATTCAAATTTCAAACTCACACCTTTTAAGTCAAAACTTCGACACTAGGTCGTCGCATCTTCAAAATTTCTCCAACACCGATTTTTAGCCAAACGAACCATTTTAATCAAACAAACAATTTTAACCAAAAACAGATATTTCAAAAGGTTCCTGCGGAGTACCGCAGATGCATTGGGTGTTAATACCTTCCCGTTGTATAACCAACCCCCGAACCCTCGATCTCTTTTAAAAACGCATTGTATTTCCATTACTTTTAAATATTAATTTACATTGCATACTTTAGGATTTTATTTCGCTCTTTTCCCTTTTCCCTTGGAAACAATAAAGCGCGGTGGCGACTCTTGCTTTTGTGAGTCAAGTTAATTAATAGCTTCATCTCCGATTTTCACCGCTACACCTTGATAACATCATCTCAATTGTTTCATCATCATCCATCTTGAAAGCTTAATACTTATGAATTAAGGCCCGAGCCTTGGATTCCTTGACTTGATCATTTCCGTCATGAGTCATTCTGACAGAGTCAAATATAGACTTAACTGAGTCTATATTTGTGATCTTCTCATATTCAGTGTAAGAAATAACATTAAGCAAAATGGTTCTTGATTTATGGTGATTCTTACAATCCTTCTTTTGTTGATTAATCATAGTTTTCCTTTCAAGTTGATTTCCATTTGCATCTGTAGGATGTTCGTGGCCATTAACTAGCATATCCCAAAGATCAACATCATGACCTAGAAATAAACTTTCTAGTTTATCTTTCCAATATTCAAACTTTGCACCATAAAAAATGGGAGGTTTAGCATTGTAGTTATCTTTATCAGAAATTGGAGCTGGTGGTGGTGGAATGGGTTCAACCATAGTGTTTCTAAAACTTGTCTGGATCTTTATCTGACACGGTTAAGTGTTTAATTGAAATCAATACCAGAACCGAAGCTCTGATGCCAATTGAAGGTGCGAGAAACACAAGAAAGGGGGGGTTTGAATTGGGTTGCACCAAATATACTCTTTTCGCAACTCAAACACAAAGATAACAAGTGAAATAAAAATATATGAACATAATTATTTTTATCTTGGTTCATTGTTAACTAAGTTACTCCAGTCCACCTTACAAGGTGATTTGCCTTATACACAAAGACTTAATCCACTATAGTCAACCAGATTATAGATAACCATAATAAGTCTGATAAATCCTATTGGTACCCCTAATAAGTATGGCGATCCTTATTGCAAATCCATTATGACCGTAACCAAAGTCTTATTGAGAATCCAAACTACACGGAGTCTCTCAAGGAACATTTCAACAATAGTTGATCATAAATATGTGTATACAAAGATGCTTCTACACAAGCAGATTACACAATGTTTAAGTGTTGATAGCAAGATACGAACAAAATCTCCTTTCTAATTTCCAAAATATACAAATAATTACTCTACAGAGTTTGTGAAGCGGTTTGGTGTAATTTTTTAGAACTAATTCGTTGATTTCAAATTCTTCAAAGTACTTATTTTATAGCTGAAAGAAGAGATCAGCTGAAGGGTAGAATAGGAAATATAAATACTATTTTTTTGTTCCCAACGATCATGGTGAGACTGGTAGACAATAGTACAAAAAAGTTTGTCCTTGCGCCACTCTAGAGAGGTCACAATTTACTTTTGTAATTTTATGCTCACCATCACACGCGATCCCTTAGTCTTGATATTCGTCTTCTATGTGTTCAGAGGCTTCTGATTTATTTTATTGATGAAGCATATTGTAGAACAATTAGAACTATGTATTTTAATTACCTAAGTCTTTAGAGCCTTTCAAGGCTTGTTTAGAGAACTCTTACCTTTAGAGTCTTCAGCACTTGGTCTTCAAAATGTATTCATATCATTAGAACTCATTCAACATAACCTTGTCTTCAGAATCTTAAGAACTTGGGATATCAGAAGTAAAGCTTTAGAAGGCCTCCAAAGCTTTCTTGCCTAAGTCACGATCAGAAGCTATTTTACTAATGTTCCTTAGAACTATTGCATAAGAAGCATTATATAACCTTGACTTAACTTGAAGCACACCAAAGGTATTCTTCCAGAGTGTTGAGTTCAGAACCTGATGACATCACACACCTTCTTAAAAGAGTCATAACCTATATAGCATAAACTACACACTAGGAATAAACCATTAGAGTACATAATTATTATCTAAGATAACATGTAACGTTATCATCAAAACTTAAGGCCATATGTAGAATTAATCTTGTTCTCACAGATTCTAAAGATAAGGTTTTGTTGAACAAGTTCTAAAGATTCTGAAGGCCAGCTGTTCTCTAAACCAACTTATGAAGACTCTGAAGACAAGGTTCAGTTGAACGAGGTTCTGAAGACTCTGAAGAAAAGGTTATGAAGACTCATAAGACCAAGTGATGAAAACTCTAAAGACAAGGTTCAGGATGAACAAGTTTCTGAAGACTCTGATGACATGGTTCTAGATACTTAGCTTTTGATCTTCTACACATGCTTAAACCATTATACATCCATAAGCCATTGAAGATTAGAATAGAAGATCTAAAGGTTTCACGTGAGTTACAGTACAAGAGACAACACCACCTTGTATCCACTATGCTAGTTTTATGGCGCAAGAATAATACTTATGTACTAGGTTGCCTACCACTCTCTCACTGACCGTTGCAAGAAGACAACTGGAATTTTGGTATTCCTATTCTACCCTCAACAAATTTCTTTTCAGCTATAAAAGGAAGACTTGGAAGAAATGTAAATGTTGAAGAACTTTGAAGAAACTCACGCTTATTCAAGTTGCTAAAGCGCTGCCAAAATAATAGTAATTTTTGAAAAGTAAGGAGTTGTTTCTCATTAACTTGCTAGCAAGGAAATTTTGTTTGTTAGCTTGCTTAACTCTGTTGTGTTATTATTTCTACTTCAATTTTGTGTAATCTACTTGTAAGAAGCAATTCTAGAAACACAAAATATGTATTCAATTATAAGTTGATTGTTTCTTGAGTGACTGAGTGAAAGTCTATAGACTCAAGAAGACAAAGACAATTGGTCTTTGTGGTTGGTTCATTGAGTGACTAAGTGAAGGTTGTAATACCCCAAATTTGTCCTACCCTTTCTCTTATCGTCTGGCTTATGCATCGTCATGTGCATGCCTTTCAATTAGGCCATTTAACACATCAGGAAATTCACTAGTCAATAAACTTGGAATTAGGATCAAGGACTTTGCAAATTAGGGTTCTACTTCATTTTGAGGTGTACATATCAAATAAGACTGGTTCATCTGGTTATTCCTTGAACATTGGACTGTGGAATTAAGGTTTTAGTTTAGTGTTTGTGGATTTCTTCTGCATCAAGATACAAGGTCTTCTCCATCTAATTTCATCAAGGCTTGGTCTTTGGAGTTAAGGGTCATGGAATTAGGGTTTCACGTTGTCAGTAGGGTCTCATTCTTTTGCATGGTTATTTCAACTGAAGAGACAAAGGTCGAGGATAAAGGGTTTATTTCCCTACACGAGGCTAAAGAGAGTTGAATTCAAGGATAAAAGGTTCCCTTGTGGTTTAGTCATGAGATTATGGTTTTAAAGATGTCTTGAGCCTTCTTCTTTCTATACCTCAAGTCACTCTTTTTTCAAGAATTTCAAGGCAAGACTTCTAGGGTTTTATCACTTCCTCTTTTGAGGAGAGATTTCATGGCCAGGGTATTATTATGATCTTCAGGACTTATCAAATGAGTTATTTGAGGGCATTAGCCTTGTGTTGAGGTCATTGGTTTGCAAGCTAAGTTGTCACGAGGA